AAGCGAAATAAAGTTAATTGAAAATGATCATGCACCAGTATATCAGATTTCAAAGAATTTTTCATTTGAAATTTATGTTGTGTCAAGTTTTTTCGGCATGCTACTGTATTTGGATAATTTTTTAGATTTGATTTAAGCCGCTACACAACATTGCATCATTTATCCAAGCGGTTGTATGCCTATAGAAGTGGAGTGCCTGGTATCTGTCTGTGAATGCCTGAAAGTGAAAGTGACTTGAAGTTACCTAACACAACTCGGCCAACAAGATATAACGTCAATATCGTAATTCTTATCAAATTTTTAGACGATAGTCATTGGTCACTGACGATTCTATGCATAGTTTTTAAATAGGACATGAGCTATGATGCTTGAATTTTTACAAAGAGGGAGAAACATCCTGTAGCCATTTTCCACAAACAATATCCGTAAACTGTTTCTAAGTTTCCTGAAAGCGGCGTGATAGTCTGGTACTTATGGTCACCTAGTGCTGTTTCGCTGTGGCCGGTTCGACTCGAATACAACAAAGATTCCCGTCCATCACATGCTTCGTGTGTGATGCGTCGTATAGCATCTATTCAATCAATCAATTCAATCAATCAATTAGCTTATAAAGCGCTATTTCCGCGATGTTCAACAGCGCTCCTCAATGAATTTTGAAAACAGATGGGTCTTGAGATCCGCTCTGAACTTCGCAAGTGATGGAGAAATAGTTAGAGAAGTAGGTAGAGAGTTCCAGAGAAAAGGACCAGAAAAAGCAAAAGCAGATTTGGCAAAAGAGTGTTTAACATGAGTTAAGAAAAAGCGAGAAGAAGAAGACGATCGTAAACCGGGGCGTTTAGGTTCAATTGATATATCTGATAAGTACTTAGGAAATAATTTAGATTGAGACTTATACATGAACGTGCAAATTTTAAAAATTATTCTATATTTTATAGGTAGCCAGTGCAAGAGAACAAGATATGGAGATATATGAGAAAAGAAAGGGGCACGAGCAACCAGACGAGCAGCAGAGTTAAAAGCTTTACTTAAAGGATAGAGTATAGAGTCAGGAAGACCATAGTAGAGCGAGTTACAATAATCAATCCTAGATAAGACTAACGAAGTAACAAGAAGGAGAAGAGTAGGATCATCAAGAAAAGGCAAAAGTTTTTTTATTCTACGTAGATGAAAGTAAGAGCTTCTAGCAACACTATTAATCTGAGAAGAGAGAGACATAGTAGAATCAAAGATAAAACCTAGACTACGAAACTTATGAGAGACATCAAGAGTTTTAGAATCAGGTAAGATAATAGGAGGAATAGTAATTGAGTGTTTAGATTTATTAAAACAAATTAATTCAAACTTAGAAGGATTAAGTTTAAGACACATAGAATCAGACCAAGCGATAATCGAAGAAAGACATAGAGATAAATTATTAAGAACACTATTGAGATTAGATGGAAGAAAAGAAGTATAAATATAAGAATCATCAGCATATAGTTGACTAGAGAAAGAAAAGTTATTAATAATACGAGGTAGTTCAGAAGTATAGAGTATAAATAGAAGAGGGCCATAATGAATAGGATAGAACCCTGAGGTACCCCGAAAGTAAGAGTAGAGGAGTTAGAAGTAGAATTATTGAGAACAACAGAAGAAAAAACGATTACAGAGATAAGAAGAAAACCAAGATAGACAAGAATCAGTAATATTAAAAGAAAGATGCAGCAGTCTCAAGAGAATAGTATGGTCAACATTATCAAAAGCTGAAGAAAAGTCAAGAGCAAGAAGAAGAGTAAGATTACTATTGTCACTATTCATATACGATGTTTGCGACGTGCTAATGATTCCTCTAAAAACCTAAGAAGAGTGCGATAGACATTTTAACTTTGTAACATTTATGAAATATAATGAATGTGTAACGTCGCTGAATGTGTAATGTAGAGAATTCAAGAGGGAAGTTTCATTTTAAAATTTCATGAGCAGATTTGAAAAAATCTTTATACATACAGCTCATTATATTTTCCATAAAAACTTCATTTGACGCCCCAAATACTCACTGTTATGAATAAATGCGTTACTACGAATGAATGTAGCATAATTTTTTCAAAAAATCACACAAAATTGAAACTGCCTTACTTCCAATTATACAATTTATTAAACTTGAGAGAAGCTTTGATATTCATAACATTTTATACGGGCAATCATTAAGTGCAAGATGAATATAAATTATAGACGTATAGTTTAATTCTACTATTCTACTATGGTTTAATTCTTATACTGTATCTCCATAAATGATCAGCAATTATATTTTTCTTAATCCTGTAAACTTCTTTTTGTTAAGTTGTTACATTATAATTATATGTATATAACTAAATTTTGGATAATGCTTATTATATAGTTACAACGAGTATATTACCAGTATATGATCGAAGTACGCTTACATTACAGTTGAAAATAATTCATAATTGAGGTTAACAGTGAGACCATTTCGCACTGTTTCAAATCATTTGGTGGAAGTTCATTTTTAGTTTGGAATGTCAAAAAAAAGTTTTGTTTATCATTTTTATCAAATTTAATTAAGCGATTTTCAAAATGCGAGTTGATACGCCAAATATTTAAATTAAGTAGTTTTTAATTGCGAACAAGATGGCCGGCAAGCCTCCTAAATCGCCCGGCATCTCACCAATGAGAATAATTCAGCAACAGAGCTGTGTTGTTGTTGGGGGCCCTCGAGGTTATCTACATTTATTTCGTGTTTTTGTTGTCCTAATGTCCATTTAATTGATTTGATTTTAATTTATATGATCTTTTTTTTGGCTATCTGCCACCTAAAACTTTGTTTAATTGTTTGCACTGCTTGACAAAGGAGAAAAAACAAAGCTAATCAATAAATAAAATTATTATAAATATGTTATCTTCTCTTAGTCTTAAAAGATAGATTCTTTTGTTTGTTCTTACAAAACAAAAGTCAATTGACAATTGAAATTTAAATGATTATAAAATAAATTTAAATAATTGTAAAATAAATGAATTAATTAGTGATAGAATTAATTAATAATGTAAAATTGTTGAACAATGTTCTAATTAAGAACTAATTAATATTAATTAATATTACTTCATGTATTTTGTGGTCAGAAGCTGAATCAAAATCTTTGAGTAGGTTGAAAAAGTTTAAGAAAAGGATTTCTGCCAGTTTCAAGAATTTAAGTAAATGAAATTTTTTATTTTTATATTTTGTTAAATTATCAATACAAACGATTTTATTTTATTAAAATAATATTCTTGCTTACTTCAAAATAAACTTATTACTTTGTATCAATCTAACTCAGTGAAAAATTTTGATAAAACAGCAATAGTGAAAGACACATCTACAAATGATAATTACCCTGTCTCTGTAAGCTTTTAAATTAAATTAACATTATTTATTTTTAATTTTGAGCATTCTAATTAACATTTTTAGCATATCTTATATTTAACTTTAAGTGTTCCAATTGAATGTAATATATTCAAATTGTATTACTCTTGAAATTTTTTTCTAATTTTTTTCAAATCTAAAAATTTTTTAATTTTACCAGTCAAACAAAAACTACAACCACACCTCGAACAAAGAGAGCATTGCCAACTCGTATCTGGCTTGTCGTAGTCTGAACAACACGCCTAGAAGCAAATCAACCCAGCATCTCATGGTGTCTTGTGTCAATCGATCAATCGATGACGTCATCAATCAGTCGCCCTCGTCAGCAGAAGTCGTTGTCAGTCAGATGTCTGCTCAAAATCAAAGTCAATAGCACGTTTTTGTATCTCTTGTTTGTTTATTTATTTTTTTGCTTGTGTAATGCATTTTCACTATTCTGTGTGTACTTTGTGATATTTTGGTTGTGAGTGTATTGTGATGATGTTTGAAATGTTTGAGGTGATGTTTGAAATGATGACAGTGATTACAAAATGATAATGAAAATAATAAAGATGATATTACCATTGATATTGAGAAATATAATTTTTTAACAAATGTTCCACTACCCATTGTTACAAAATCTCTCAAACAAACACTTCACTGCTACGATTCCACAAACTTTTATTCAGACTTGATGTCTCGTCATCATTCATCCGCCGGAGACTTTCTTTCAATCCATCCACTATCAACGACAGCAGTGAACACCATGAACAACTCCGTCTATGGCAGCAGTAAGGTCGCGAACTCTGTAAGGTCACGACCTTCACGACCCAAGTCTGAGGGCAACCTCTCCATGCAGAGCATCAAGTCAAAGAGGGCTTCTAGTTTTGGAGTAGGATTTGGTTTCTGCTTCAATGTCTCTCAATTCATTTTTATTTATATTAAATTTATTCTGCACAGTTTGAACTAATTTACGCTCATGTAAGCACTGCTCATGTGTTTGCTACATAACTAAAAGGCGTTGTCTTCTTGAAAATTTATTGCTTCATTAATGAATGAATCATAAGATAAGGAGCTTGTTAGAGTTGATTTTTTATTTATTAGAATCTTGGGTTACAATCTTGAAGAAAAAAACATTGAGTATAAACTAGTTTCATCTATAAATATTTCAGCCTTATACTACATCCTCTCAACAAAAATACCGTCTTTTTAATATTTAATTTTTTTGTATTGCTCAACAAAATTTTGACCAACACTTTTAACTTTTATATTGTATGTTATCTTTGTTAGTATCCTTTTGATGATGGTGACGACGACGAAGATATTATTGTCATTATTATTTTTTTATAATCAAGTTCATTTTTCTCTTTCATGCCCTGAAGTTATTTGTTTGCTCATTAACGAGTTCACTTTTTAAACTTTGCATTTAAATCATATTTTTTTCTCTTATTTGTTTTTTTTTACTGAATTCTCATTCTAGTAAACTGCCCTTTCATTTTGAATTAGAATTTTTACTTTTAAATTTACACACTTTCAAGGTTATATATGCTTATAATAAACTAAATAAGTTATTGATTAATTTGTTAATTAATTAATTAATTGACTTGTGGTTAAGCTGAACTCCCCTTATGGCAAAGCTGAACTTTATCAGAAGTTGGAGCAGCTTGGCAAAGGATCATACGCAACAGTTTATAAAGGATTTAGTTTGTGAGTATTACTTTATGTTATCTTTGTTTGTTATTCTTTCGTTATTCTTTTGCTGCCATTTTTCGCTTTTGATTGTGTTTTTTGTGATGTCGTTTTATGCCGGGGTTGTTTTACAAGGCGTTTTTCATCCTCACGATCTTTTATCATTATCGAATTAGTGATAAGGAACCATCCCATCATCATCATTATTCTTATCACTGTTATCAACGTTATTATCACCATCATCGTCACCGCTATCACAATGTCCAGACTGACAAACAGTACAGTCGCTCTGAAGGAGATCAAACTTGAAACTGAAGAAGGTACTCCATTCACTGCCATCAGGGAAGGTTGTGATGATGATGACGACGACGATGATGATAATGATGATGATAACTACGACGACGATGATGATGATGAGGATGATGACGATAATGATGATGATAGTTGGTTGTAGGTCAGTTCACTTTTAATCTTTTGATCATTTCGACATTTGACAGCGATCGTCATCTTGCTTAATACGTTGTTCATTGCTATATGATAACACTATCACAACATTCCTATGATGTTTATTGTAAATCTTTATCATCATCATCTTCTTCATTCTTCATCTTCTTCTTCATTTTCTTCATTATCACCATCATCTTCATCACCATCATTCTACACACCCATGTAGCTTCCATCCTGAAAGGATTGAAGCACGCAAATATTGTAACACTTCATGATATTGTGCATACAAAGACTTCTCTTACTTTTGTTTTCGAGTACCTGGTCGGTTAACTGTTTGCTAATTAATTAATTAATTAATTTATAAATGTTTCGTTATTAATTATTTAATTATTATTAGTTGTAATGATCATCTTGTTTTATAGTTTTGTCAGTTATTTTGTTTTACTGTACAGTCATCATCATAATCATCGTTATTATCATCATTCTTACCTCAATCATTTTTACCATCTCTGTACTCACTTGCCGCCATTGTTCTTGTACTTTTTTGCTCTCTTCATTGTCACCTCTATCATATTAACCACATCATCATCTTCGTCATCATCGTTATCATTGTCATCATCATCTTCATCATTTGTATCATTCTCATTGTAGTCATCTTTATCTTCTCCATCACATTTTCTATCATCATCATCTTCGCCATCATCATCTTCTTCATCATCACATCAGCACATAGACCTAGGGCAATACTTGGATAAGCACAAGGGAGGACTAAACCCCTATAACACAAAGGTGGTGATGATAATAATGATGATGATGGTGTTGGTGGGATGATGATGATGTGAGTGTGATTATGATGATGATATATAAATTTTTAAATATTTATTATTGTTGTTGTTATTATTATTATTATGGTTATTATTTGTAAATTATTTTTATAATTGTGTTTGCTTCAGTTGTTCCTGTTTCAATTACTGCGAGGTCTGTCATTCTGCCACGAAAAGCAGATATTGCACAGGTTGGTCTTGAGTTTTTCCATACTGGCTACTTAATTAATTATTAATTAATTAATTGTTTAATTGATTGTTTAGTTAATTTATTTGTTTATTCTTTCTTTCTTTCATTCATCATCATCATCACTGCTTTAATAATCTTCGTCATCGTCATCAACCAGATCGCCATCGCACATCAAGCACATCATCATTGTCGTCATCATTGTTATCATTGAATCTATCGTCGTTATCTTCATCTTTATTACCATAGTCCTAATCTTCATCGTCATCATCATCATCATTTTTTACCATCATCATCGTCTTCATCATTACCAGAGATTTAAAGCCTCAAAACTTGTTGATAGGAGAGAGGGGAGAGTTAAAGTTGGCTGATTTCGGTTGGTCTCGAGACGAAATTTTCTTTTGTAAAACCGTTTTTCACTCTTTAATTTATTGCAATGAACTATTCATGATGCGTTATAATGTTTAAAATGAACTTCTTTGATTGCAGCATCGGTTCATTGTTTGTTATTGGATGTAAATTGTACTGTATTGCATTTTATATCTCAGGCCTCTATATTTACACTTAGTGCTCTATTTGCACTTGACAAATAGTGCATCAACAGTCGTTTGTAGGCATTTAGGCATTTATAACCTGGATGAAATGCGAATATAAAGGATCTACAAAGTTTAAATAACAGTACCTAACGAGTACAACTGCGTTGTGTTTCATTTATTAGCACTGCTCAACATTGTAGGCATTCATTCAACATTTACCATCTCACCTACTTAGACGGGTATGCTTTTGTGTATGGATGCACTAACTTAAATACACGTGTATGCCACTATCCCTCCATTCTAACGTATAATTTTGCTAATTTATCCCAGGCCTCGCCCGAGCAAAATCCATACCAAGCAAAACATTTTCCGACGAGGTCGTGACCTTGTGGTATCGGCCTCCTGACCTTCTGTTGGGGTCAACTCAGTACACGACCTCTCTGGATATGTGGGGCGTGGGGTGCATTTTTGTAGAGATGATCACGGGTGCAGCCGTCTTTCCTGGTCTCAATGATATTCATGATCAACTGAACAAAATTTGGATGGTCTGTTTGCTGTTTGTTGTTTCTAGATGTCAATTAGTTTCTGCTGTAATGAGTTTAATTTTAAAATTCAAAATTTAATTGTTCCAAAGTTCACATTTTCCAGTGATGGGACTATAATGGTTGATGTGCTATAATTAATATCTCTCATTGTGAATGATTTGTGATTGAGGTTCATTTCGGCTTTCCGGATTGTTGTTCAATGAGTTAACAATTTTTCTTAGAAAATTTTTTTGCTAATTTTTTTCTGTCATATATTTAAAAAAAAACGTCAGAATTTTTTGACCTTTTACAGATATTAGGAACCCCGAATGAACTTTCGTGGCCCGGGGTGAGCCAACTGCCCCACTTTCATCCGCAGAAGATGTCGCAGCAACATCAGAAACGCTGGTCTCAGTGCTTTCCTAAGTTAGGGCGCATTCCTTACGCCGAACCTCTGGTCGTCTGCATGCTTCAAGTTAGTTTCTGCTCTGTGCCGTTTGAATCGTCATCAAATGATGTTGTCGTCATTGTTGTTTATCACTTATGTTATCACAATTTTGTCATCATGACATCATCATGTCATCCACTAGTTAGTGCCACAGCGCCGCATATCAGCTTTGGAAGCATTGAGACACGCATACTTTAGCGATCTGCCATCTGCACTCTTCGACCTGCCTGACGGTTTGTCGAGATGGTTTGATGTGATGTGATCATCATGTTTGATGTGATGTGATGTGGTGTGATGATGGTAGGATGTTCAAATGATGTGATGATAATTTAATGTGATATAATATCCACATGATGTGAGGTAATGTGGTTTGGTTACATAAATTTATGGATAGAAAAATCTTTGAAAATTGATTTTCAGATGTTTCAATATTTACGATCCCGACTATCAAACGACATCCTGAATCAGATGAAGTCTTGCAGATTCATCTAGAAAAGCATCAACAACAACAACAGCAGCAACAACAGTTGAAAAGTGAACCTCAACATATATTGCAACAAAAACAAATATTAAACATACACCCTCAGTTCATGCAACAACAACAACAACAACAATGCCATCAACAGAAACATCAACATCTGCAGCAAAAATCTCAACAACTCCAACAGATTCAGCAACAACAGAATAAACAAATGTTTCAAAATCATACGCAATCTCATTCAAAACTGCAGAAGCAACCGCAACAAAATATCTATTCGACAATGACGTCATCATCAGTGATGTACTCACAACAACAGCAACAACAACAACAACATGGTGGATCCTCGCAACAACAACAACAGCAGCAGTCGACCAGGTTCTTTTTTCCTCATATTCGAACGAACCCCCACCATCTGTCGAAGAGCACATCCCTATCTGCCAATCATGTCAACAAACTTATCATTAATGAGTATTCAGGTTTCTGTATTTATTGGTTGACAAATTATTGACAAATTGATTGATTGATTAATTGATTGATTAATTTGGCAATTGACTGAAAAGTGATCAATTAATTGAATGATTGACTGATTAACTAATTAGCTGGTTGATTGATTGACTACAATTGATTGATGTTTGGTCAACCTTGTCGCATTTTCTGTTTTTGTTTCTAAATAAATCTCGTTTCGTTTCGTATCGATTCGTTCCGTCTCGTTTAATCCCTTTAAAATAATTTATCATTTCAGGTCCATCTGCTGTTTAGCACACCTTACAAGCAGCAGCAGTAGAAGATTTTTTTTTCAGAAAAAATTTCAAACCGAGTAGAATTTCAAGTTAAAGAAGTTTCAAGACAGAGATAGATATAACTTTTTTCATAATAATTTTTCAGTTTTTATTTATTTAAACGAAATATTCTGTCATTTTTTATTTATAACAATAATAATAGTAGTAATTATTATTATTATTTTTTATTGGAATAATTATTTTTATTATTACTATCATGATCTTCGATATTTTATCAAAGTGATTTGTTATACTTATGTGTGTACGTTCATAATTTTTTATCACCAATGCAATCATTGAATCGACAGTTAATTGTTATTCTTAAATCCTTTACACAAACACGTTTGCACACACACACACACACACACACGCATATATATAGACATACGTACAAATTTGTCATAGTAATATAGATACATGTAGAACTGTTCTGCAGTTGCTATATGATGCTCAATGTATTTCATTTATAAATACTATATATTTTTAATATGTATGTATGTATTTATGTATTGTTTAATGTATGTTTGTTTGTTGGCTGGTTTATTTGTTTGCTTGTTGGTTCATTTGTTCGTTGGTTTGTTGGTTTGTTCGCTTGCTTATATGTTCGTTCTTTCATATGTTTGTATCTCTTTGTGTGTATTACTTAAGTACTCCTTCATTCGTACATCAGCAACAAATTTCAATGAAAATGTTTCTATCAAGTTCAATAATAGTAATAACGACGATTTAAACCATAGTAATAATAATAAAAATTATTATTTGTATTTTTATCTCTACATTTGCCTGTACATCAATTACGAGAGTATGTGATTGACGCTTGACGCTTCTTATTTTATTATTTTATTATTATTTTATCATTATTATTTTTATTATTATTTATGTTATTAAATTTATGGTGTTAGAGTAAAAAGTAGTTGTGTATTATGTGATATTGATTAGATTGACTAATTGGTATGGCAAAATAGCGCTATATAAATACGGATATTTTTGTGACAAATAACACACACACACATATATATTCATATATATATATATATATATAGTATTTAGATATTTATATATAGTGTATATATATATATGTATTGTATTTAGATATATTTTATGTATGTTTTGTGGCCTTATACCATTATACTAACTTATAAAAATACATATTAACCATCTATCAGAAATATTAGTTCACCATTATATATATATATATATATATATATATATATATATAATATATAAATATATATATAAATAATATAATAATAATATAAATATATATATATATATAATTAATATGAACGTATCTACATTTATTGATGGTTGTATCAATGTAATAATATCTTATTGTTAATGGCGTTTTGAACATTAATTTTATTGCTGTTCAAAAATATGGTTGTTCATTTCATTAGGTGTTCACTTTTGTATGTGCGTTTATATGTCTATGTGTTTATGTCTATGAGTGTGTGTGTATGTATGTTTGCTTTTGTATTTACGTAAGTAAATATCTTCTTCGATGTGTCTAAATGTATGTATGTTTGTGTGTGAGTGTGTGTATGATTTTATTTGTGACTTTGCTTTTGTGCCATTACAAACATACACACACCCACATAAACATACAAACACATACACGAAACATAAAATATCAGTTTCATTGGCGTGTTCAATTGAAAACGTCTAATGGCAACTTTATTTGATTTTTGTGAAAATTCATTCGATATTCACTAATTCATTATTTTTGTTATTATTATTATTATTATTCTATTTGTCATCTTGTCGTCGTCATCGTAATTCTTATTGCTATTAGTGTTACAATCACGTGTGTTTTTACCTTACCTGTTTTAATAATAATAAATAATAATAATAATAATTATTATTATTATTGTTATTATGTTTGTTTGTACAATGTTCATCTTGCTCATTAATCTAGTCTATATACGTGCACTTGTCGTAATCGTATGTCTGTACGTTAACTTTATTTATCCGCATGAAATACATCCAATAAATTGGATAATAATGAACTGGTTGGCTGGTTAGTTGATTGGTCAATGAATTAACCAATTGGTCAATCAATAAAGTAGTTAGCTATTCAATTAATTAATTAATTAATGTGATTAGATAGCTGAATGTGATTAGTAAATTTAATTCAATAATGTAGTCTGTCACTGTTACAAAACTTGGTAGTTAGTTCTGAATTATATTAGAATTAAGGATATATCGAGGATAATATTTTTTATTGATTGATTTAAATATGATAATAATATAGTGACGGCGTGATGACGTCATTGAAGCCAGGGTATGATGACTTCATGTCACTGATATAATCATGTGATAATATTGTCGCAATGCATGATGACCTCATAACTTGAATCCAAGATCTTTGAATGTAAAAAGTGACATCAATTTTTCAAACTGAAGAACGCAAGTTTTGGTCGAATGATTGACTGACTGACTGATTGAGTGGTTGGTTGATTGATTGATCGGGTTAGTGTTGATTGAATGGATGATAGGATGAATGAATGGGTGATTGAATGATTGGTCTGTAAAGTTGATTGATCTGATTTTCATTCATTGAATCACTAGCAATGTAGTAGTACTTTATATTATTACTTGAATATTTGAAAACCACTTATTTGAGAAAAATGAAGAAAGTTAATACAAATGGAAATAAAAACTGTGTCTACAATTAGTAATAATGGTACTTCTGGTTGATTGGGTAATTAATTAGTACGTACAAATATGACGTATCTAGTTTCTACAGTTTGTAACTGCCAACTCTTATAATTGTCATTATTTTTCTAATGTATAATTACGAATTGAAATAGAGTTTTTTTTCTATATAATTTTATTTATAAAATTTATGGAATTTGTAATGAAATACTCGAAAGATACTGTATCACTCATTCATCATGTATCTTTCTTTCTGAAATCTATCCTTCTATATACCTATCTATCTGAATTTGATCGGTCTGTCTATCTGTCTGTTTGTCTGTCTATCTGTCTGTCTGTCTGTCCTGTGTTCGACCTCCATCCATCTATCGCGTCATCTTGCTTTATCTCAATTTGCAATCCCATTCTATTTAAACTCGAGGATATTTTAATCGTAATCCTTGGTTTGTGTTGGGATTGGGATTATAGGGATTGTAAATTCACTTTAAGTATCTTGGTTTTGTCGAGATATATTTCATTCAGATGTTATAATTGAGGACAAAGTAATGATATATGTTTTCATGTTTTTTTTTTAATTTTCATTGCGTGATGTTTTGTATTGTTTGATTAATTGATTAATTGACTGATTAGTTAATCAGAAATTAATTAATTGATTATTTCCTTCAACAAATTTTTTTATTGAAAACGGAAGTTATACATCGTTTTTTTGTATTTTATTGTCAAATTTAGGATGATTGGCATGGCGTTATTAACATTTTGATAATTTCGAAACACTTTTTTGTGATTTCATTAATATTAATGACTTATATCAATCAATCAATCGATCGATCGATCGATCAGCCAATCAACCAATCGATCAATCAATCAATCCATCAGTCACTCCATCAGGTAGGTTCTTACTGACGAGCATTTCAATTCAACCCGTTCAGCAGTCAGCATTTTAATTTCGATCATCATTAATTGTACAAATATAAATATTATTAGTATAAATTGCATTTCTGTGTTTCGTTTGCTTGCGTATTATCGTGTCTCATGCAGTTTAGCACGTGTTATTTTTCTTTCTTTATCTCTCGCTACTTCATTTTATTTAAATGTAGTTTTAACTTTCGACGCCATCTATTGTAAGTAAGAAATGTTACCCCACGCTCTTTAAGTCTAGAAAGTTGGATTATTACAAATCTGTATTCCGAAGGTTTTTTTACATAAACAATGACTTATTGAATTAACTCCAGCATTTTATAATATATATATATGTATGTATATATATATATATATACATACACACATATATATATAATTTGTATATATATGTATATATATATATATATATATGTATATATATATTTATATATATATCTTTATCTTTACTACTACAAGAATGAAACACAAATGAATAGTTTCATTTTGTTACCTTTTGTTTGTGATTTAGTGCTGCTTAGTATTTTATTTTCAATTTAATTTAAAAGAATGAAATAAATGAATTGTGTACAACCGTGTTTGAAAGCGGGTTTTTGATTAAATATTGGAGCTTTTGATTCAATTTTTGCAATCTTTGGGAGTATCAAATTAATGATTATCGTATTAGTACTGTGTAGGCTTGAAAAATTCATTGGTATTCTGTATACACGTACAAAATTACGTATATGGTTAACAACCAGTATAGTTGCTATTAAATAAAAATATCGACAGTAAACTGGTATACAAACTGGTATTTGTACCATTGAGTTTAAGCTTCATTGGTATACTATTGAGTTTAGCATTTATAGGTATACAATTGAGTTTAAGATTCATTGATGTACAATTGAGTTTAAAATTCATTGGTATACCAATAACTTCAGGGGTATATTAAAATGTTTAAATTTACGTATATGGCTTTCCATTACGTATCATTAATTTTTGACTTACTATCATATCTATTTAAAATACGGAACTTTAAATGTCGTTTAATTAAATTAATTTTTCTGAAAAGCTGTAAAAAATATTTATATTTCTTTTTTAATATTTATTTATGTGAATATTTTTTGCAAGAGTGTAAATCAATAAATGGCTGCTTCCTCGTTTAGAAAGCAGATTCAAAGAGTCAGGCAAAATATTGACCAGAACTTAGGCAGGTGGGTATCTGTATCCTATCTTATCTCACTCAAGTTTTTTTTTTCAATTAATTTTTTTAAAGTTTCTGAATTTTAATTTCCATGATTTTTACAAGTATTTAATAACTATCTATAGCAATAATATCTGAATAAAAATTGAATATGAAACGAAAATAAAAAATTTTTGATTCATAATATTTTGTTTATGAACTTATTTATTTTATTAAAAAAAATTTCCATAATAATTTTATTTATATTACTAATTAATATTTTTCATAATATTAATTAAATTGACTAATTGAAATCCATCAACAGAGCAGAGAAGACAGAAGTTTTAAACGAAGAAGAGTTGAACCTAGAAAGAAGGGTAGAACTCTTAAAGATGGTTTGCCAGAATATCCAGAAAAAGTTGGTACTGTGTGTCAAGAGTCCCAGTCAAATCACTGAAACAGACAAGAGATTGGTAAATTTGTTTTATTTATTTATCTTTTTTCGTAAAATTAAATCATCGTTTTTAAACACTGTTTAACTACTGAAAATTTAAATTTTAAATTTCCTTTTACTCCTAGATAGCTTATATTCAACTCAGTGATAGCTATTCCATTGCTGTTGTTTTTCTTTGTATGTTATTTAATGTTTGTATTGTGTTGTATTGGATTGCATTGCATTGTAATGTATTGCATTGTATTGTATTGTATTGTATAATATTTACATACAGTTTATTTACATGTACATTTATGTAATGTACGATTGTAATAAGTTTGCATGGCATGTCTTTAATAGATTGACTCATTTTTTAATAGCTTGAAAATGGCTATAGCAATAATGTTTCTGAAGTTTTTTGTTCCCTTGTCTGTATTGTTTAGTATTATTTTTTTGTTTGAAGTCAGTAAAATAGTAATAATGAAATGATATAGTGTTAATAATAATAATAGCAATGATAATAATATTATGTAATAATATGATAAGAATGATGCTGTAGTGATAAAAATAAAAATTTTTCAGTATTCACTAGATTTAAATCCGATAAATAGTCTGATATGTTAGATTGACTGATTAATTAGAGAAAGATACCAGAACATGGTCTGTGGCAGACGTTGAAGGAGTCTTCTGTGCAGTTGACTGAAAATACACCTTCAAGGTCTTTTAATCTTTTTTCTTGTACATTTCTGTTTCTTTAAATTTGTTATATAATCTGTAGTGATTTTGGTTGTGCTATAAATTTTTTAGCTGTTGTTTTTTTGTTTTAGGATGGTTGAACTGTTTTCTTGAAGTAAAGTCTTTTCCTCTCTCACTTTCTCTTTTTCATTCATCCATGTATTCATTCATCCATCCATTCGTTCATGCACTCGTCTTTCAATCCATTCATTCTTTCTTTCATCCATTCGTTCATACACTCATCCATTTATTCATTCATTCATTTATACACTCATCCATTTATTCATTCATTCATTCATTCATACATTCATCCATCCATTCATCCATCCATTCATCCATCCACCAGTCAAATTTTTGATCTGGCCTCTGGTCTGCAGCACAATCTGGCAACAGAGATCATCATGTTGGACATCCTAATTGAGAACAATTCATTGAAATTTCTACAGAATATTTTAGAGGTTAAATGAGTTTTTTGTTGTTGTTGTTTTAGTTTGTTGTTGTTTTTGTTGCGTTGTTGCTAGTTCAATGGTTATTTGTTGTTTATGTTTTGTCGTTGCTGTGGATGTTGTTGTTGTTGCGTTGTTGCTGGTTCAAGGGTTTTATTGTTGTTGTGGTTGTTGCTGGTTCAATGGTTTTTTTGTTGTTTTGTGTTGTCGTGGTTTGTTGTTGTTGCATTGCTGCTGCTGTTAAATTGATGTGAACTACATCAACTAATTGTTATTATTTATCATTTCATAATAGCAATTTGTTAATTATAATAATTGATAGGGGGTGTATAATTATAGCATATATATATATATATATATATATATATATATATATATATATATATATATATATATATGGTTTTTTTTTAATTGAGGAGAGGATGTGTACATTTTTAATTATGAAGTTCATATGATGTTGCCAATGGTGATGGTAATGATGACATAGCGATGATGATGACGATGACGATGCAGTTGTTTTGATGATGACGATGACGATGCAGTTATTATGATGATGATAGCGATGAAGTCATGATTGTGATAGCTAGGGTGAATAAATTATGCTAATTCCAATTTGGATATATGATAGATACTTTTCAGTTACACCACTCATGAATGATTAATTAATGATGATGATGGCGATAGTACGCTTCATAATTTCAACAGAGTATATGATGATATAATGAAAATAAAGATTATTATTGTGATGATAATAGTAGTAAAATTGATTGATTAATGTATCATTTACTCATTACGATACAAATGATGATACTTATGATACTAGGATTAGGCTGACTAACAGATGAAAATGATGATACTAATTTTAATGATAAGGATGATGGTAACAGTAAGATTGATCGTTTGATGTGTCATCACGATGATACTAATCATGATATAGAGGATGATACTTATGGTATTAGGATTAGGCTGACTAATAGATGATAATGATGATACTAGTTATAACGATGGTGATGATGGTTTATGATAGTTTACGATGATGATAAAGATAATAATTGTATTGTTTGATAGGCGTTTTAGATTATGTTAAAAAAATTTTGAAATTGTTATTGTGTGTTTATTTATAAATTAAGCTAAAAGTTTCTGTATTTGTTTCATTGGTTGGTTGACTGATGAGAATAGTCATGGTGATGATGTTTGTTGACGACAGTGAAGACAGTGATTCCGTCCTCTATGCATTACATAAGCTGGCTTTGTTTTTCGGAAAGTGAAAGCAAAACTGAGAGTAGTGAGACAATTATTTCTGTATTTTCCACTTTTTAAATGTTTCCATCAATTTTACAAGGGATAAAATTCCCAAAGGGACTGTTTGTGAAATAAATAATGATGATGATGTTTCAAGAATTATTACCTACATACGTAGTAATTACTATGCGTTTTTGAGTTCTTTTAATAATGATGGTGATGATGGTAATGATGATGATGAAGATGATGATGATAATGATGATGATGAAAATGATGATTATGATAATAATTAGGATTCTGTTGATAATGGTGATGGTGAAATGATAAGGTTAATAATAATAATAAAGACAGATTTTATTGTTCGTGCATTACAAATCTTTTTACAAGGTATTTGTAATGATTAGTTAGTTTAGTATTTCTGTGATTATGTAGTTATACGCTACACTCATTTTTATTTATTTACTAATTTGTTTGTTTATTATATCTTTTATCTGTTTTTGTTTATGAGTGTGTGTGTTTGTGTGCGTGTGTGTATGCATGTGTTGTGCGTGTGGTTTGTAGGCTTATATGACGTTTTACCATGTTATTTATTTATTTATTCATTTTATTTTATTTACTTATTAATTTACATAATTTCATCCAGTAGACAGGTATGCAAATCTATACTACCGCATCACAATTATATCGTGACGTAATTTGATGATAATAATTAATAATAATAAAAACATAAGATCCACCATCAAAGAATTTTGACATTAAAGAGCATACAAACAACATTCACAATAGCGATTGTATTCTTAACTTTTAGCATCCTTATTTGCATAGCACTGTTTTGTGTTGGTATTTTTTTTACCTGCGATGTGTGTGTTTGTGTGTGTGTGTATTTGTGTGTATGTGTGCGTGTGCGTGTGCGCGTTTATTTTTGTGTGATTTTAAAAATTTTCTCTTCAGATTACGCTGTGTAAACTTCCTTGTTAACTCATTTGAACGGATTGATTGTATTAGTCATAATATTTTTTTTACTAATAATTATTGTTATTATTATTGTTATTATTTATTATTATTATTATTATTTTATTATTATTGTAGATTCGTTTTATTATTTATTTTATACTGTCACAGAATGATTATCCCGCTATCCAAAAACTGAAGAAGCAGCTGAACACAAAAACATTGGACATGGATGCTGCCAAAGCAAGGTTGGTTGGTTGGTTAATTGGTTGGTTGTTTGGTTGGTCGGTCGGTCGGTTGGTTAGCTGGTTGATTTCTTGTTTGATTGGTTAGTTAGTTGATTGGTTGACTGATTGGTTAATCATTGAATTAAATGAACGCTTCCTAGCAACCATTTCTTTAAAAAATATCAATCAGTCATAACAACATTTATCTGCCGGTAATCACTCAATCAATCAATCAACCAATCAGTCAATCAATCAACCAACCAATCAATCAACCGATCAGATTTTATTCGGCTCAGAAGCAGTACCAAGCTGGAACAGTTCCGCAGCAGAAAGTTGATGAGACGAAGATTGACTATGAAGATGCTATCACGAGAGTCGAAACTATTAGGGTTCGTTGATGGTTGAATGCCTGTTTCATTGATTGGTTGGTTGATTGATTGATTGACTGGTTGATTGACTGGTTGATTGACTGACTGATTGATTGATTGATTGATTGATTGATTGATTGATCGATCGATCGATCGATCGATCGATCGATCGATCGATCGATCGATCGATCGATTGATTGATTGATTGATTGATTGATTGATTGATTGATTGATTGATTGATTGATTGATTGATTGATTGAGTGATTGAAACCATCATCGTCGTCGTCGTCTTCCTCGTCATCGTCGTCATCATCATCACCATCAGGACCAATTAGCCACGGAGATGTACAGTTTCTCTTCGAAAGAAGTTGAAATAAACCAAAGTTTGCTTGAGGTTGAATTATTATAATAATGATCATGATGCTGATATGGTTTTTTTTGTGATGACGATTATGGTTATGTTGATAATATAGAGATGGTGATGATGATGACAGTGGTGAAGGATTTTTGTCGTGGTGATGATGATGGTGATAGAGATGATGATGACGGTGATGATGATGGCGTTGATAGTGAGGATGATGGTGATAATGCGTTAACTCGAATACACCAACCACCATTACATTTTCCACAATTACTCTTTTTTTTACTCACCGTTCTCATTATCCCCATTTTAATCGTCATCATTGTCATCATCATCGTCGTCGTCATTATTACTGCCAATGCGACTGACTGATGATGTATGTATATAGCTGGTAGAGGCACAGGCGGAATTCCTCAGAAAATCTCTGGCCTACTTTGATAAAGCCATACCTCGAATTAAAGAATGCTTTGGTAGGTGGGCCGGCTGGTTGGTTGAAATAATGACGGTGATGATGACGACGATTGATTTGGTCTAATTTGATGGTGATTAAGATAAAATGTTAATAATTACTAGCTTAATATTCATTACAATTCCCTCTTTAGATTTTTTCAGAGCTATCAACAACAAACACGCACCATGTATGTAAATAACGCATCACGCACTTGCATGCGATGATAAGCTGGAATCTGCTTGCTTTCAAACCTGGCCTCTGTGATACTAGTGCCAGACATTTTAACCATTAAGCCATCGCGAATTGAACACATTTGTAATCATAAAAATGTATCACAGATTTCTCTGTTCACAAGCCTGTGTTTGGCCAGTCATTAAGCGAGCACGTTGAAAAGAGAGGTAACAGAGATATAGCTCTGGTTCTAGAGGAGTGTGTTCAGTTTTTGTATGAACACGCCTTGGAAGAAGAAGTATGTGTGTGTGTGTGTATGTGTGTGTGTGTATGGGTGTGTATGTATGTGTGTGAGTATGTGTTGTGCGCGTGCGTGCGTTTATGTGTGTATGTTCGTTGTGTGTGTTTGTTTGTGTGTTGTGTGTATGTATGATTATAAGAAGTATGTTGATGATGATTGTATGCTTACACTCATAGCTATGATTCTAATGATGATAATGATGATGGCGATGGTGAGGATGATGATGATGATGACGTCAATATGTCGATATTTTAGGGTCTTTTCCGACTAGCTGGATCGTCATCAAAGATGAAAAAACTGAAAGTTTGTGAAAATAATTTCATATTTTTTGGCAAATGATTTTTCCTTGTTATTATCGTGGCTGTTGTTGTATTGTTTGATTGTTGTTTGATTGTTGTTTAATTGTTGTTTGATTGTTGTTGTTGTCACATTTTTAGTCGTTGCTCTTTTGGCTGTTGTTGTATCTTTGCTGTTTTTATTGTTTGTAATTTCATTTTTGATTTTACTAAACCGAGCAGTCAGCTTTTAACTCCAACATATCATCTGGATCTGTGATCGCCGGCGTCGATGAGGTCGATGTCAATGTCATTGCTAGTTAGTTGTTGTTGTCGTTATCGTTGGTGGTGATTTGTTTGGTTGTGGTTGTTGTTGGTGGTCTTCCTGGTGTTGTTGCTGGTTGCTTATTTACGATGTCTTGTTGAGTCTTGAGGCAGTTGTTCAGTCTCAGTGTCCTTTATCACTACTCAAATTAGACAAATGAAATGTACAAATGTACGTCTAAATCAACCTAATACAAACAAAATTTCACACACACACACACACACACACACACGCACGCACACACACAAACAAACACAAACAAACACACGCACGCACACACGCAGGCGTATTGAAACAGTACCTTAGAGAGCTTCCAGATCCACTGATGACGTGTGATCTTTATAACGAATGGATGAAGGCCAATGAATTGTACGTGTTTATGTGTGTGTGTGTGTTTGTCTGTCTGTGTACGTGTGTTTGTTTGTTTGTGTGTTTATTTGTGTGTGTGTGTGTGTATTTCATAATAACTCTACTTAATTATAATATATAAATTATGAATAAAAAGTTGTAATTGTTATTTCATAATTTTGCGTGCAGACCAGCAGACCAGGTGGCGAATTATTTGAAGGATGTAGCAGCTAAACTGCCCAGAATAAATTATGTTAATTTAAGGTCGGTCACTTTTTATGATTATGATAATTATGAAAACGGACGATAATCAATAGTAATGATCACTTCGATTTTGATGATAACGACGACGATGATGATGAATAGCAAAGACGAGTTTGTGATTATGACTTAGATGATTATCTAAGAAAGGTCATAATGATGATAGTTACGATGATAATTGTGATAATGATCATTACGTAATGACGATGGTGGTGATGTCAGTTCAATTATCATGTAGTGCCTGATCTCCTAACGGTGACGTCATTTTATCGTTGGCGTCATCATAACGAACATTTTGATCATCATCACGTTTGAAAGTTGTAGATCATAATCATCATCTTCATGATCATCTTCATCGTCATCATCTTCATTGCCATCATCATATTCATCATCATCCTCATCATAGCTTTATCATCATCTTCATCATCATCATCGTACTATACTACCACAAAGGTACCTAATCAAATTCCTCAAGAAACTGTCAGAGTGTTCAGATGTCAACAAGATGTCCCCAGCAAACATCGGACTCGTCATGGGGCCTAATCTTATCTGGGCTCCCGGAGACGTGGGGTACGTGCTGCTGCTGCTGCTATCGCTGCTGCTGCCGCTACTGATGATTATGATGATGATGATTATGGTGGTGGTGATGCGGTAATCTTCTATATCATTGATTTTTATTGCTGTATTATCATCTCGTGATATATATTTTTTTTATATCTGGGGATGGTACTTTTGTCGTTATCTCTATCACATACCTTACTCATCCTCATCATCATATACTTCATCCTCGTCACCATATACGTCATCGTCATCATCATCATTTTCATCATCATCGTCGTCGTCGTCATTTTCATCACGAAGGCCGAACATGCTGACAACTGGGATGCAGAGTTCGTTGGTGGAAATGCTCGTCGTTCATTCCAATGCCATCTTTCCTGGAGGTGTGGTGATGATGATAGTGGCGACGACGATGATGATGGTGACGACGACGACGATGATGATTATGGTGGTGATGATGATGGTTATGACGATGATGATGTTGATGATCGTGATGTCAGAAATGATGGATGGTATTTATAATGCTGACACCGACGATGAGGGGATGATAATAAGAATGATGGTAGAAATAAAAACGAATATGAATTATTAGAACAATACTTAATTTTTGCTATAGTAGTACAGACGTTCTAGACACACACACGCGCCACATACACACACGCACACATGCACACATCTCAGACACGCACGCATATACATACATACACACAGACAGACACATACACACTTTTCTTCAGAGATCAACTTCACAACGACCAGCAACGAATCACCCGAGACCAACTTTGAATATAAAAAGTTTGCAGCCATCAGTCTGAACGATCCATCCATTCACGTCAAACAGCAGCAGTACAACATCCTGCCAAGCTACTCCACTCAGCCAGATAACAAGAAGTGTGATGATGATGATCTTTGTAACAATGTTGATGGTGATGGCGATGATGATAATGATGATGATGTTGTCGATGATGATGAGAATGATAAAGAGTAAGAAGGGCTTAATTATTTTGAACTCGTTTATGTTAGTTTATATTTTGATGTCTTTCTTACTCTACGTTATTTGTTGGTTAATTTTCAACTTTGAAATGACTTCAAGCGTTATTAAAATTATACGAGCCCTTTATGTTTTTACTTTGTATATTATTAATAAATAAACCGTTGAACCTACCAGATCAGAAGCAGACGTTTCGAGCAGCACTACTCCACAGCAACAGAAACAGCAGCAAGTGCAGCCTCCTCAACAGCAGCAAATCATCTCACAAACTCCAGCCAGCACAACCATGAAGAGGATTAAGAAACAGCAAGCCCCTCAACCTCCTCCCGACGGACTGGTCACCTCCTTCTCACACCTGATGACCACCAGCGAATACACTCCCGTTACTCGGCTGGAGAAACCTCGCGTGCCTCCCCCCGAACGACCAACCATGCCACCTCCGGACAAACCCGTCAGGTCAAATGTTGAGCCGCAAGCTGCTGCACCTTCTCCCGGGTTTATACTTCCTGCGACGATGAAGCAACAGCCACAGCAGGTGGCCCCACAAGTTCAAACAATGCCTCAGCCACAACTTCCCGATGTTGCAATGTTACCCAGCCATGCTGCTACCCCCACCAACCAGTTCAACAATGATCCCCATCAGCAGCAGCAACAACAACAACAACAACAGCAGCAACAACAACAGGTCATCAATAGTAACATTAGCAGTTCAGATTCCAACATATCTAGTCCCCATGCATCGTCGGCACCTCTCAACCAACAGCAGCAACCACAGCAACGGATATCATTAACATCACCATCGGTACTGTCGTCATCATTCAACCAGTCCTCCACATCAGCTACACCATCATCCAACATCCCACCAAAACCTAACTACCCTTACTTGGGCCCCTCTGAAAGTCCTGGGGCTCAAGCGACACCCGGCAGTCCAAAACCAGCCCCCAAGACTCACAGCAGGAACTCGAGTTTGGGTTCGAAACCACCCCCACCTCGTCCTCACCCTCCCCTTCCGCCAAAAAGATTCGAACAGAAGCCTGGAGAATGAAAACATTTTAAACTTAATTTACTTTGTGTTGTGCTTTCCTTCGTATACATTAACTCCTTTGCGTAATAAAGTTATAAATGTCTGTACGCCGTGTACGTGTGTATGTGAGTGTTTGTGTGCGTGCGTGTGTGAGTCCCTGCGTGTATGTTTATATATTTGCGATTTTTTAAAAATTTCTTCTGATTTATGTGTCATTTTATTCAAGCGCATTTCTGTAAGTGTATGTCTTCTCTCTCTTTGTCTCGACACTGCCAATGTTACTTCAAGATATGACGCTAATTTACTTACTTATCCTTGTCATGCCCATGTTTGAAGTAGTTGGTGTTTATTTATTTATTTCTAAAACCATTGAAGTTGTTTAGGAATAATTAATTATCATGAAGGTAGATTTAACGTTTTATTTCTAGTTTGTGTGGATGTTTAATTAGTTAATTATCATAATTGATTAATTAATGTTAATTTTATTCAATTTTTATAACTAATTTATTATTATTACGTAATTGTTGTACAATTGTACTGGCAGACATCTTTGTTTTTTTCATCCAACTTGAAGAAATCATATGCAGTCTTTTTGATATATAAATATATATTATTAATTTTTGTAAAATGACATTCACCACACACACATTCACACACACACACAATCTCTCACACACACACACACACACACACACAGTTTATACCGATTTTATTAACCTCGATTCCTTTTAATATTTCATCAAGAAAACTTTTTACAGTTGTTTAAAATTGAAGTATTAATATAATAGTTGGATTAATTTTTGGAAAATTCAATAAAAATGTAATTAATCCTTTAATGAATTTACTTATTGGTTATTACCTAATACACCTATTGTATTCGCTGCATGCAATAAGGTATCTACCAAGTTTATTTTAACCAAACAACCATTTAGAATTATATTTTGTTTATTTACGTGTGTTGCCAATTTCCATTTCAAACAAGACATGGTGAATACATAATTCCGACGGTCAAAATTTTTTCCGATTCTTCCAGTAAATGTTTTTTTGGGTTTATTCCTGCCAGATATATGTTTCATTTAATCCTGAAATGATTTTTTATTTATTTTTTTTTGACAAAGTTTTGAAATTTTACGATGTGAATAGTTTTTTTTATTCATTGCACCCATTCATAGGTCCCTTAGACGTGTTCCTTAGACATGATGAATAAATTGATAGATTTCTCGCTAAGAGCAGTTTATAACTTAATGCCGTATTATGATCTGCTTAATAATTTAATAATACTTAATAATTTAATAATACTTAATAATGATATAATTAATTTTTATTCATTTTTTGTCACTGTTTTCTGCCACTTATTTATTTCGATGTTGTTTAATGATTTTGTCTTATAATCAAGCTTTCTTTATATTGTGAAATTATTTACTTATATTTTTTTACAATTTAGTCGAATAGCATTGCCATGTAACGCTGTCTGCTACTGTTTTTATTTATTCTATTATTTATTTTTATTTATTACTATTTTTTAGAAATGGATGGTTAAATGGAGAGAACGTGATATTAGAGAAGTGTGTGTGTGTGTGTGTGTGTGTGTGTGTGTGTGTGTGTGTGTGTGTGTGTGTGTGTGTGTACGCTTACGCTTTTTGAGGTATGAATGTTTGAAGGTTACTTAATAATGTGTATCGTAAAATTAAAGAAACACGAAGAAGCTGAGATGGATAGATAGAATGATCAGGCAAACAAACACACGCGACAACAAATTTGAGAGACAAGGTATGAAATTATTTGTTTAGAGAAAAAATTTGTGGTCAAACAGGGCGCATATAACGCAATCAGATGTTTAATTAGAATTGATTCATCATTTAGTGACGTCCATTGACGATTATAAGGATGATATGATTACTGAAAATGACGATGATGATTAATGACTGTGATGATTAATGACGATGATGGTTCATAACGACGATGACTTTAAACTATATAGTTATATGAGGGTGAATTTATGGTAGGTACAAAAATCGTGTTTGAATACTAGTAGATTTTAGACCAGTACCTATCCATTAACCTTGCTAGAAACAGATTAAGTTTTCCCGTCTTGTTACTAAGTTCATGCGAGTTAAAAATATTGACATTTAGTTTGGAGATGGATGTGAAATTTACAATTAAATTGATTATTTTGTGTGGTTTTGTGTTTCTGTTATGTTGTATGTACATGAATTTATGTATTTGCATTATTCAGTTTGTATAACTTTTTTAACATTTTATTTATTACTTCATATTTTCGGAAATTTGTATACATTATAAGGTGTGGAATATTATATATAATTAAAGCTGTATATTTAAATTTTCACGTGTCTATCTAAAATAGAAAAAAAGATAGATAGTTAGATAGAGATAGCGAGATAGAGTGAGAGAGAGAGAGAGAGAGAAAAGATATGTGGTATCATATATCTTATTAGTATCATAATCAAAATCATAATTTCTCCACTTCTCATTTTTACATTCCTTCGTCCAGTGGAAGAATCATCATCGTTACTTTTCAGACGTACGCACATGTAGTAGTTGGTGGAGAAAAGCAACTGGGTGTATGTTCTGTCCTAAACACTGATGTCAAGAATTCAAATTTGGTTGAGTAACGTTAAATCATTTCCATGCTGATTGTGGAAGTAGTAATTGTAGTAATAAATGAAACCACATATGATGAATCAACTTTTTTCCACAGACTTTTGGACTATTACCCTATATGTACAATATTTGAGGAACATTCTTGTGCAGTTATCGTCATCATGCGTTTTTTAGTATAATTAATCATCAGTGATGATAAAGTGATGTTGTATTCTCATTATTTAATGATATGTTTGTTGCATTATATTGTAATGAATAGATTGTATTGTAATGAATGGATTATATTTTAATGAATGGATTATATTGTAATGAATGCATTATATTGTAACGAATGCATTATATTGTAATGAATGCATTATATTGTAACGAATGCATTATATTGTAACGAATGCATTATATTGTAATGAATACGTTATATTGTAATGAATGCGTTATATTGTAATGAATGCGTTATATTGTAATGCATCTTGTTATCTTACTTCGGTGTTGCTACAATTCACTAATGCACTAATTCACACCTCTGCTACCATTTTTTATAACTTGCTGTTTCTTATTTATTAATTTGGATGTTGGTTCTTCAAGATACCTATTCATACGTATTTGTGTGTCTATGTAAAAAGTATATAAAAGTATATATAGTATTTGTGTATATGTATATATACATATATAATGTTATTTAAAATAATATATATAATTTGAAAGTGAATTATCAAATTTGCAATTATCAAATTTGCCTTTAATAATATAAAATTTAGATAGCGCCAAGTATATAGAGGATTGTTTATAGACAATTCTTTTTAAATATGGAAATTGGTTTGTTTAAACATGAAAAATGTATGGAAAACTAATTTGTTTAGGAAGGTTGGCATGTTTTGAGATATTTGTGTGCATATGCATGCGTGTGTTTGACTGTCAAACGTTGTTTTTCAGTTTTTTTATTGTATGATAATTGGCAACTTTATTCTTTTTAGATGTTCTTTGTTATTATTATTATTTTGAAAGATTTTACATTATTCCTTATTTGAGATGATTTTACATTTGATCGTATTTTTCTGAATAAACTTAGCGTTTTGATGTACTTGTTCGTCTTGTTTAGATATAAATTTTGCGAATTCCATTCAAAAGTTTTTCAATTTTCTAGGCTTACTCTTCAAAAGTTCGTTGGCGCCCATCTACGTTCAATCTTACCGAACACGCGTTTCTAGCTGATTGATTCAATGATGATTTGAACGCTTCTCTTGACATTGAATTTTATTTTTTGAGAAATAATGTTTAAAAACATTAAAAAATTCTACAACCAAACCTGTATAATACTAGTTGATACATTATCAAATCCAGGTTACAATAAAAATTACTTTCTACTTTTTATATTATTAAGCATAATAGGAGTGAAACCACATGCAAAACGGAAATGTTCGTGGTTGAAGCAGTTGCAGTTCGTTCAGACGATCATCCCATTATTGCCATTAGAATTGTTTGTGGACGGTCGTTGGAAACCCGTTGAAGCTCCGGTGTTGCCCGTGAATCCCACTCTTCCGTTCCTTCCCGTTAATCCTCTTTCTCCGGTGGCTCCTCGTAGACCACTTGATCCCGTAGCCCCAATGAATCCAGTTCCTCCAGTGTATCCCGTGTCTCCAACTGATCCGTTGCTTCCAGGCGTGCCTCGTGAACCTTGTGGTCCTTGAAGTCCTGTGGCCCCCGTAAAACCTTGAAGCCCTTTTGCTCCTTGTGCTCCCGTGTCGCCTCTGGGTACCATGCCTTTGACGTCGTTGTTTCAAGTTTATTAGTTTTTTAACATTTCTTGATTGTAAGAAAATGATAATCATTTATATAGAACTGAGTAAACCAAGTGAAAAATCAGTTTGCTAGAAGATGGTTAAGAAAAACAGATTTGTATAAATGAGGCTATGAACATGTATTAATAAAAATGTATAAATAAATAAGCATACTTTCAAGAGGTTGTTTGAGCAGCGTCAGAGTGTCATTCAGTTTTCTATGAAGATCATCTATCTGACTGAGTAGGTCGTTGTATACGTCATTCATGTTGTTGATGTTGTCAAACAAGTTATCCAAAACATCTTTGTTCTTTGACTTGGCCGCGTTCAACCTCAAGATGAGATCGTCTGCAACATGTTTGAAGCAGGATGGTAACGTGAATTCTCTATCGTTTGTGTTGCTGCTGCTGCTGCTGCTACCACCAAGCTGTCCATTCACCCATGAAACTGACACCATTACTACAGCTGACACAAATACTATGACACGTTTTTGAGATAGAGCCATCGTTTTCACACTAATTCAAAATACAATGTTCAGATGTATAATGTGCAGTGCTTGTTGTTATTGATGATGTTTTACACTGTTACCAACCACGAACGTGGAAAAAATGTATATGTACCACAAGCTGATAATCTTGGAAACTGAAAACTTGGGATTGGCTTCTGAATGTACCTTTAGAAATATCCGTTTGAATATTGAGCGGTTTATTCGACTCAAACACAACGGTATCGTCGGTTTAGTTACTGCTCTTACAAAACCTTTACGATTAAGAAATTAACTAACAGATAAGTTTTTGAATACACGCATGAATGTGTCAAATTATTTTCTTTTAATATGCTTAATTTTAATTTTGTAAATTCTATCTGCCCAGGAGTTTGTTTCATTATTATTACTTTTTATTAGAGTTATTTATGCATCAATATATTATTGTGTGTAATATATATAATATATATATGTGTATGTGTATGTATATATATATATGTTTTTACAATATTCTATAAATTCTACCGAATGTTTGGCGTTCATATTCTGTAGAATTTATAGAATATTGTAAAAATTATGGTCTATTACCAACATATATATATGATATATGTATATATATATATATATATATATATATATATATATATATATATATATATATATGAGTATATGTACTTTAAGAGCATTGCATTAATGTCAATAGGACGGAATCATTAAACAACACGCATTGACACTTCTCAAATAAATCTTAGCGATTAAATGCTTCAACAGTTTCATGTTAGTGTAATGTTACGATAAGTCATGAAATAAATAATAACGTTTGGCGGCCTTTTCTACAACTTTTATGCTCCTTTGAAAAAGTTTGCCTTAAACAAAACAAAATTTTCATCGTCTAACTTTTAATTGCTGGTCGCAATAAGCGATCCAGACACTGATTATTATGATGAACGACATTTCTTTTATTTCATCTCCAAGCCTTTTCAAGAAAGTTGTTGCAATCACATACGTAAACAAGTAGACGTGCACACACACGCACACACACACACGCTTATACACACACACACGCTTATACACACACACACACGCAAACACATAAAAACAACTCAACGTTTTATTAAACTGAAAGCAAGTAATTCATGCGTTCATTCGTTTGCAAAACTTTGATATGTATTTTAATGCATCGTGGCTTGTGTATTGCTTTATACTACAGCGACTGCATGTACTAACAAACACGACGTATTTATGTGAATATATGAAATAATTTCTATGTATATTCATATATACGTATATATAATTGTAATTATACGTTACATATTGAACAAGCTTAACAATTTGTGTTAAGTGATTTGAAAAAATAATTTCATTACACAAACTTACTGTTTTTCAATTGTTTAATATTACAGAGTATATCTATATATACATATTTGTGTGTGTGCGTGTGTTCGTGCTTGCGTGTGTGTGTGTGTTTACATACGCATTTATAGAAGACATATGTATATGTTTTTATGAATCGGAATATAGTTAACTGTATGTGTTAATTGATCTTTGAAAATTGTGATGTAGTAGTTTTAAATGAACTTTTTGAAATTAATTTGCAACTTGAAACAATATATCTCAACTACATAAAAACTTTTTTAACTTGACAACAAAAATGAAAAAGTTACTTCTTCTACTACTACTAATACTGACAATAGCAACACAATCGGTAGCGGAAAAAGCCGCTACATTGACTTCAGACTGCACGATCTGTTCGAATGATGTTTACTCGAACCTGGCATCGGCCCTTTACCAAACGACGTGGAAGTTGGATAACTATGAGGAGAGGTTGTCGCAGATTCAAACAAGGGTGGCCATCTACCAGGGTTACATTTCAGACGTTTTGAGAAATTTATCATGTTGGTATTATACATTTTTCATCTTCTTCTTCATCTTCTTCATCAGCAGTTTTATCTGGTTTATATTGTGCTTACATTTTTAATTTATTTACAAGTTCGTCAGTGAAAAATTGTGTGTAAATGATTAAAAAAATTTTTCATTCCATTCAATATGGCTGTCTACCATTACGTAACATGTAACTGCTAATGTTGCTTTGTATATAATCTCTGCCTACCATTGAATGCAGCCATAGTAACAGACAATGGTCGTCTGAACTTGAAGGGCCTGCCAGGAGAAGAGGGCAAGAGAGGTCAGTTCGGGGTCACTGGAGTCAGGGGAGCTTTAGGACCAAGCGGTCTTCAAGGATTGCCGGGATTGAATGGGATGAAGGGAGACATGGGATGGACTGGAACACGTGGAAGTACTGGAGCTACTGGTGTTACAGGATCAACTGGATACACTGGCTTCACTGGTACGTGTGCTTCATATGTGCGTGCACGTGCGTGTCGGTGTATGTATTGAAATATGTATGTGTGTTTGTGTGTACGCATATGTACACGTGTGTTTGTATCAGCAGATTTAAATAAACTTATTGTAATTTATAGTGCGTGCACTGAATATTTGTAAACATGTAGAAAACAAACATTACGTTTGTGCGTTATAATACAGACTTGCTTGCACGTGTGACCGTATCACAGAGATAACCTTGGTCGGTAGAATGTCTTTAAATATCTGACTCGATCATTTCACAAGTTTATTCAAATAAATGTTTGTGACTTCACAAAAGGATACGTTTGAATTTCAGTTCAAATATTTCGTTTGCTCAATGTCAAATTCTATAAATAACTGACTATACCTAAATAGCTTGCATTGATACACATCACTCACGTACACAAGTGCACACACACGCACAGGCATTAAAGAAATGGAAATCGCACACATACACGTTGAAGTATAGTGATATACAGTAAGATAACTAACCACCATTAATAGCGCAAGATGTTGTGCATCGTCGTGGTACGTACAATTTGGCTTTCTAAAAGCCAAAGTTTAGCGGTGGTGAGCCGTGAGTTTTTTACTGATTGATTTTGTCATCTGAGTTGGTGGTTGGTTTAATTGAAAATGTAGATTCCTACATATCAATTCTCGTTCATTAACCAACTTGCAAGTGTTAAGAAAAATAAATGCACGTCAGACTTGCTACCTTCAAATATAACGCTTGAGAATAACATTCTGACCGTGACACGGAATAATTGCAGAATGAATAAACAACAGTCACACAAACAAATAAATGAACGAACGAACGAACGAGTAAATTAGTGAATGAATGAATAAATTAGTGAATGAATGAGCAAACGAACAAACAACAGGTTGCATTAAAATTAATGAATGTTTGAATCTATGAAGTTATCGAATAAGTGAGGCGGTTGCGAGACAGATGATTGTAGTCTCATTTGTCTCATGCTTGTAACTTGAGGCGGACATGCTAGCATGCAAGTTTGTTAACATGCATACAAATCCTGCTTAATTAACTACAACATATACATAGATGGAATAATGGGCGATATTTATAAAAATTAAAAATAACTTCTTATAAATGTGATGTCTGTATGCTTGAGTGGCTTTTGGGAAATAAATTCATCCATTTACATACAATTGCATGGAAATCTTTCATCTACCTTCATAAAATATTGATGCATTGCGAATTTCTTTAACGTACACATTTTTGAAACAAAACCCAGTTAAATCAAAATTTATGATTTTGTATAACAAATTCCATCTACCTACCAATGCAAAAACATGTCAGGATACACTGGTGAACTGGGAATAGAGGGAGCTAAGGGAGTCGAAGGGGTGCCAGCAAGGGACAAGAGATCCGTGATGTTCCTTAATGTAGCACCCAACTCTGAATACATTGGCACTGTTTATGGAAAGGTATATAATGAATACCAATATTCAAGATCTTCAACTTCAACACTGTTATAGTTTAGCGAACATGTATTTCTGTGTTTGTTTATAACCCGCACCCATATTGTACGTTCAGAAAATATTTTAAATATTTCAAACACACCCATACACACTACATCCACACCACACACACACACACACACACACACACACACACACACACACACACACACACACACACACACATACACACACACACACACATACACACACACACAGTCACACAGACAAACACACACCAAACCATCCAGCTAAACCAAACGTTGCTATCTTTCTGTTCGGATGAAATGGCGGAATTCGCCCAGACGTTCGTTGACGATGTTGAGAAGATTCGACACTCGGAGAGCGTAAAATTGTTGGATTTATTCGATGGGGTAACGAACCGGTTGGAATCGAGTAAGTACTTGTATCAGCAAGTTCTCGTCTGGTACCTCTACGATCAGACGGTTGTTCAGATGGGTTGGTTCGTGTTAATCACATTTAATTTAAAATTGTAGTGTTTTAATTGTTGGTTTTTAGAACAATAGTAAAAATTAATAAAAAATGTAATAATGCTGTTTTATAGTAAGGAAGGCAACAATAAATGATAAGTTTTATTTAAAACTTTTATAACTTTTCTGGAATGAATCAACAAAAGTGATTATATATAAACTGAATAAAAAATTTATTTCTCATTTTATTTAAACTTTAAATAACACTTCAATTATTGTTTAACTTTCCAAAATCCACCGACGACACCACTCATCAGACAGGACGTACCGCGGATTCACGGGACCAACGGGAGCAGCAGGAGACACGGGAGACACGGGACAGACCGGGAACATCGGATTGAATGGATATCCCGGATTATACGGCAACAGAGGGGGCACCGGTTCGTCGGGAGCCAAAGGGTCGACCGGTCCCAGAGGAGCTACTGGGCCTCGTGGCATGAGAGGTTCGGATGGAGTGGGAGGGTATCCCGGCGATGTGGGTGCTACTGGCGCTACGGGTGCAACGGGACGGAATGGGAGCCGGAGAAGAAGAAAATAATGGGATGGTCAAATAAGTAAATAAATAAAGAATACTCACAAGTGCATTTGCTAATTTTCAGTTTTTTTTTCAGTGAACTTGATCAGTAAAAACTATTAAATTAATAAGATTTTTTTACGTTTTTTAAAAAATTTCGGAAAATAGTTGATAAATTGCTGTTAAAAAATAATATTATTTAGCGTTACGATTGTTACATTAATACATGACCAAATGCTTTATAGCTACCAACAAAACCGTGCACACATTTTCTTCGACTGCAACCGCGGTTTCTGTGCGTCTTCGTTCCAATCCAAAACTGTTCCCTGTTTGCTTAAAGAAAGCTGGAAATGACGAGATGAACATTTTGAGGGGTCCAACATTCAACTTCCACAATGGGGAAGGTTCACCTTACTCAAAAGTTCATGTCCAACAAAAATATCATGTGCGCTTTTTTTAAATTTCACGACAATAGTTTATTTCTAGCGCCATCCTATAGAACGAGCGAAATTTATGCTTCAAATGTTTGAGCTGATTTTAAGTTTGCATAGAAAGCAGTTTTAATGAGATTATGAAAATAACCAAATCAACACTGTTACTAACGTACATATGCTATCAACATACAGATGTATTAATCAATAATTTATACGCTAATAAAATTTAATGCGTAATGCTTTATGATATACAATGATATAATATGACACATTAGTATATAATATATTACGATATGATACAATGCAATGATACATACCACAATATATTAATATATTGATAATACAATGATACATAGTAGATACAGATTTCAATCCAAGCCATGCAAATCAGTTAAACATTTTATCAACAGATTTTAAACTGTGTGTATGATAAACACAAATGCTGATATTATTCAACTTTCCCATATAATCATAACAAGTCCAGGTGCATTGTATAGCATGCTATATATATATATATATATATATATATATATATATATATATATACACCTACAAACACACACAAACATACACATGGATAATATGTGTGTGTGTTTGTCTGTGTTTGTGTATGCGTGCGTTTGTGTGTGCAACTGTGTACTCTACTGAATTTTAATTTGAATTCATTCATGAAAAATATTTACAACAGTACTACTTCACTATAATTATTACATACAGCTGATACTGTCAATACAACTGTTACTAACCACAGTACCGTTATTTAGTCTACCTGGTTGCTAGTGCAGTTACAATGACAATAAAATAATAACGTTAATGATGTAATAAATATTAAAAATTTCATGTTTCGATGGATAGAACGTTTATAATTTAATCATGTTTGTTGACGTTTTTGGGAAAGTGTGTTCTGGCTTTCGTTTGTTTGGTTGACGAAATATTTCATCTCCACACCGCACACACACACGCACACACTACACACACACACGTGCGCGCGCACACACACACACTGAACACACGCACACACGAGGGGTTAGTTATTAGTTATTAAAATGTTGCAAAAATTATTACAAAACGTTAACATATACGTGCTATAAAAATTAAATAATATTATACTAACAAAAAAAAAACTTAGTAGTAGTTGTTGTTGTTGTAGTAGTAGCAATAGTGGCAGTAGTAGCAGTAGCAGTAGAAGAAGTAGCTGAAGTTGGGTTAGTAGCAGCCTATCCTACTAGTAGCAGCAACAGTCGTAGTAGCAGCAGCAGTAGTAACAGCAGTAGTAGTAGTAGTAGTAGTAACAGTATCCGTATTAATAGCGTTAGATAACCTGAACAATGAAAAGCATTAACAATACCGATGACATCAACAAAGTTTTGATGTGATTTCGCTGTTGTCACTCCTCCCATAGAAACACATAACTAGGGAGCATCATTAATCAGAGCCTTGCTATGGGTTATATAAATAATAATAATAATAATGATAATAATAATAAAAATAATGATAAAATATAGGAAATATACCAAAAACTATAATGACGTAATCATCATTATCGTAAATATCGGTTGCCAAAAAGGTAGATAAGCAGCACCAACAATCAAAACATATCCTCATCATCATCGTCCTCATCGTTATCATCAATCATCATCACAAACATTATCATCGTCATTACCACCTAACCATCATTATCATCATCATCATCATCATCATCATAATCACTAGCATCACTATCAACCTTCTCCGCATCAAACCATCATCATCATTGTCATCATCATCATCCTCATCATCATACTTCTTTATCATCGTCAAACACGTTATATTTATTAAGGACGCTAAAGCCATAGCAACGTTTGAAATTAATACCGTAGTGTACACACACACACACACACACACACACACACACACACACACACAAACACATGCACAAACACATGCACACACACGCACACACAGATACACACATTCGTTTATATACATATACTTATCACACATGAACATATATATATATATATATATATATATATATATACATATACATACATATATATATAATATTAACTGATCGATATACTATACAGGATTCTTATAAATTGATAATCAGCTTTGACTTTTCAATTAATGAAAACTTCAGAATAAAAGTTAGTTCTTTCTATTAAGTTGGTCTCGTTTAATTTTTATTTAAAAATTTTTTTTGTTAAATAGTTTAAAATTTAAATGATTTATTATTTTTGATTTGTTGCTCTTTATTGATTTTATTTATTAAATAAATATATATTGGTAAATATTTTTATAAAAATTTTAGACAGTTCAACATTGATACGTACATCTCAGGAGTTATGCAAAGTTATTACCACTGAACTAGTAACATCAACCACCAAAATTAAATACCAAAAATATCGAATCTAAATTAGCAAGAACCTTAACCAGCAAAATTAATCGGCAGTATAGATTGTTGAAACGCAACGACAACAAAACCACCAACGCCAACAGCCGAAAAAACTACGACAACACCACAAACAACGACAAAATGGGATCATGTTGTTTTTGTGCTTGTATCTTCAAAACCATTCTCGGGTTACTGAATATGGTTCTCATGGTCGGTTGTTGTTTGTTTGTTTGTGTGGGTGTTTGTTTGTTTACTTTTGTTTGCTCGTATGTGTTGATTGTTTTATGTTATGTTATTTGTGTTGTTGTATTTTTGTTTTGTTGTAATGTTTTCATAGCTGTTGTCAACCGATCCTACATAATGATTCTAATTTACCACAAAAAACACCAACGACAAAAATTCGATAAAAAATTGTTGTAACGCGTTGTCAAACAATCACGATAACACACTAAATCACATCATCAACATAAAAAACATCATAACGACACCATACAAAACAGTATCTACCATACGAGAAGATACAATATAAATACAATTTGTACACCTAGAATACCTTCTTGCATCATAGCCTACCCATACATATCATACTATATCATACCTATACATACCTAGAATAGCCTAATACATCATACCTACGCAAACATCATGCCTATAGACACACACATACAGTTTTACTATGAATAAAATTGATTTCACATCAACTCAAAATACGTAACCCCATCAACAGCAACAAAAACAAACAAACAAATGAAACATGCTTTGAATTCGCTTGAAACATCCATCGAAAGTTTTCATTTATTATCAATATACCATACTGCGCTGGTTTTAATCATCACCCAAGTCAATGAATGAAACTATTTTTACATTTTTAACCTTTTATTTTTTTCATTCTACTAAGGATGACGATAATTTATTTTATCATCATCCTTTACGTTATCATCACTTAATCATTTTCATTATAGTAACTTAATCATGTTACTACTACCACTACTACTACTATTACTACAACAACAACAACAACTACTACTACTACTACATTTACTATTACTACTACTACATTTACTATTACTACTACTGCTGCTACTTTTACCACTTTTACTAATACTGTTACTGTTGCTACAGCTACTACTGCTGCTGCTGCTACTACTACAACGACTTCTACTACAACTTGCATGCCATAGGTTAACTCGTTATGAATCACGTTACAGGTGGCCGGTATCCTGGTGGCTGGCGTGGGGGGTGCCTTCTACGGTATGGCCGAGTCCAGTGCCGTTAAGGAATTCATCAGGATCATCGTCGTCCCTATCATAGGTTGGGATTGTTTATTCCAAATGGCGCGCGCACACACACACACACATACACACACACCACCCACACACGCACACATACACACACGCATATATATATATATATTCAATTCAATTCAATTCAAATAATCTTTTATTCAGTAAAGTATCATTAAATACATAATACTAGGAGACCCGAAGTTTGCACTTGTTGGGCCACCGAAACAGAAATTGGAATAAAATTCGAACAAAGATAAACAATAAGTGATAAAAGAAAGAAAAAAAATAGAACCAAACAAAATAGTAATAATTAATCGACAAAAACCTTAGGAACCAAATGAAAACAATAGCATAGTTACACAGGGAATTAACCGGTAATGAAAGAGGAAAAATGATTCGTTAAGATTAATTGATAAACTGAATTTTTAAATAAACCAGCAGTATTCAAATTTTTTACGTGAATTGGTAATAAGTCCCAAAGTCGACAAGAGACATGAAAGACGGAATTAATAAAAAAGTTAGTACGAGGTTTAGGAAAATAAAAATCTATATTAATATTATGTCTTAAAAATATTGATCGATTATTGATTAAATGATTTAATTGGTGGCACAAGGAAGGACAAAAATTTAGTTTAAATAATTTATAAAAAAAACATTAACGTGAAAAGAATGTGTAACT